GAATGTATTAAATTACTAAATTAAAAAAGCAATCTATTTGCACCTCTGGAAATTATTAAAGTCTTGGGAAGGGTAACCCCATTCCTTTCAAAATGTTGCTTTGGTTTTTTTTTCTACTCAAGGAAGGGGACAAGGAGGTGTTGAGAACTATGTTACTGCTGTCCTTCAGTATCTTTTTAATGAATTCTTTTTATGGAATACATTTTTCCTTGTTTCGTGCACCACTCATTGCAATACATTTGAAATACGCCAAAGGCAGCAGTTCTCTTTAAATTGTTTCTTGGGTTAAATGTAATAAGCAAGAAGAAAGAGGTATCTGAAAAATAAATAAAATAATTTTCAGCTTGTGGCCTTTGCTTCAGAAAAATCTCCTGACTCTACAAGAATAGTCTCCCAAAAATCAATGCCTCTGCTTTCTAGTATCCTCTACATGAATCGAAGTTGAGGAAGTAACTAGTGTGGTGTCCAGAGCCTCTTCTCCAGCTTTTTTAGCTCTGCCTCTGCAGAGAATTCCTGTCAGCCTTGAATTTCTTTGATGTATTGTGACAAATGCTGCCTTGCTGTGTTTTCTGCCCCCGCTGGAGTCTCCATGGGATTAGAGATCACGTGCTACCTTAGTTTAATGTTCTTGACCTTTTTCAGATGATTGACACTGCTGAATGATTATAGCAAAGCAGCAATTATCCACTAGCTGTGTTATGCTCATTTCAAGGAGAAAATAAATGTTATTTGAGATGAGTAATCTGGATTGTGTCTTTCTGCTGAGTAAATGTAGGAGACCTGCCTGTAGTGAGTCATGATTCCTTTCCCATTTGTTCTGTTTTGTGGTATTTTCTGCAAATTTCCCCTGTGCTCTCCCCCTTCTAAATGCTTTACTGTGCTCTGATCCTGTTAGCCCACATAGCTGAGAGCGCTAAATCTTTTGGTCTTGATCAGCAACATAAAATTCCTTAGGCTCAAAGGCTTGAAGATGGTGGCAGGCATGGCAATGTGTACCTTCTTATGTATTTTAAAAAATAACATAGAAGAAATGGAAGCACCCTAAGTTACCAGCAATGTGTTTATGATATGAGCACATAAAGTTGTATGTCGTCTTTTTTTTTCTTTCTTTTTTTCGCCTTTTCCCTTCAGTGAATTTCCCACAAGAATTCTGTCAAGTTTTGGCTCATAAATGGCAATGAGTTTTGTAAAGTTCCTGTACGCACAAAGCAAACAGCAACTTTACCAAATGTTCAATGCAAAGACATCCATGTGTCTGTTCATGTTACTGTTTTGGAAGACGTTTTACAGAACACCTGTCTGGCTTTAGTGAAAGTTCACATACAGAGATGCAAATTTGAAGCGGGGGAAAAAAAAAATCCAGCACTGCATTATAAGGACTTTAGTACTGGGATTTTGTCCTGTATCTGTGATGCTACATCATCATTATTGTAATCAATAATGTTATGACTGTTAACATTAGAATAACCAGTATTTTATACAGTTACACAGTTATAATATTTTTTATACCATTAATGCTATTATGGCTACTAATACTGTTGTTATGTTGCCACAGCCCCTTTTTAAAAGGTAACTTTTTTTACCTATAGGCCATCGAACGTTGTTCATCGGAGTTCATGTGCCACTTGGTGGAAGAAAAAGTCACCGACGCCATAGGCACCGTGGACATAAACACAGAAAGAGAGACAGAGAGCGAGATTCAGGATTAGAAGATGGGAGAGAGTCTCCTCCTTTTGGTAAGATAGATTTTATTTTTGCACAGATCTTTTAGTAATAAATGTCAGTATGATTATGCATGCTCTATCCTGTTATGGCTTGGACACGATTAGCAGCAGGGTTTTGGAGGACCTACCAGACCCTGTCTGGTCTCTGCTGAAGAGCCAAGATTTGTTCCTCTGATGAAGGGCAGCAGCCAGTGGCAGTCAATACATGAGAAATTTCAGTAATTTCTACCACTGTAGGAGACTGTCCATGAGTGTTCTCATAAAGGTAGACTGCCACCACCACTGAGAAGGGAGTAAGTGCTTTATGGCACCAGCTGCCCTCAGTGAAGGCTCTAGAGTATTTGCCCCTAAAACGTAACATAGAGGAGCTGTGGTTCTTTACAATTAGTTTTGTAATAATGTTGATGTTTCTGAAGCTGCAGTGTTTTATCAGGTATGAACTGCAAGCCAGGTTGTGTTTACCTTTTTCCTGACATGACACTGTAATGTGCCATTGTGAGACGAGTCTGCTAACTGAGGACTTGAGAGCAAACAGGAAAAAATACCTTTCAATAAACAAACCTGATGCAAAACTCCTAAAATACTCAAAATTTTAAATTAAAAAACATTACAGAGAACAGAAAAAGATAGTAGTGAATAAATTAATCAAGCTTTGTCTCAAAACACATGAGAATACTATTTGCTGTTCAAAAATAAGAAGAGCATGTGCTGAAAAGTCCAAGGCTATAGTAAGTGTTGAAAACATAATGGAAGCATGTACAGAAAACAGTTTGTCAGTGTGCAACGGAAGAATGTTTTTAAATCATTAGGGAAATGTCCCAATGTAATTTTAGGTTACAGAATAGTAATTATAAGACTTTCTTTTAATCTGAAGTTTGTATTATGTATGTAGAAAGCTTTGGAGCAAGTAGATTGTAAGTGCTGATGGTTAAGTATATTGTAAAGAGCTTGAAAAACTCAAATCTTCCACAACGAATGAAACAAAGTCAAGACTTTTTCAAACTTAGTAGATAGGAGTTATGTTTTGAACACTGAAGAAAAAAATTGGCTGTGGTGGTTCTGTCTGGAATGTATTTCAAATGTACAAAGACCCAATACTATATTGAAACCGGTTCCTTGGAAAACAACAAAGTTCATAAATTATTAAAATAGTTTTCAAAAAGAATATGCATATATACATATAATGTCAGATTAAAAAGAAACAATTGAAAGTTACATTAGCCAAGAAGTGAGATATCTTAAACTACGAAGCAGTGTCTTCTGTTGAGTCATCTGGTTTTATTTACGTGCCAGTATGTGACATATTTTGGCTGAGAACTTAGCTCTGTTCTTTCAACTTCTGAAGACCTAGGCTTGTGTCCTTCCTAATGTCGAAAGTAAAAAAAAGAAATTAACTGGCTGAATCTGTCCTTAATAGTCTTTGACCATTGTGCATACAATAAAATGTACTGTTCAGTACAATTCTGTGATAAGTGAAAATCAGCCTATGTTCAAGAGACCTCCAAGAGTGGAACAGCAGTAATATGAGAAAGATAGTTTTGAAGTGCATTTGTAAGTTGGTGTTCACAGCACTTGTCTACAGGCGTACTTGTTTGAAATAAATGCAGGACTGCACTTTGTTGTAAGTCACGTTTTCACTTGTAATGGTATTATAACTACCAATGAAACAGTGTGTAGGTCATGTCACATAAATTACTACTTTTATAAAGCCTAGGACAGACAAGATATAGCCCAGAAACATGCAAGTCTTCTCTGGATCCAAAATGCTGAAGATACTCTTCAGAATGCTTGGGTGATAATGATTCAAAAGGAGCCAAAGACAGAACTACCAAACATTCAGAAAAATCTGGAAATATCCAATTTTTCCACCCTGAAATAATGTCTAACTAGTAAAATTTGAAGATTTTTCCCCTTGGCTAGCTGGCTTCTGGAAGTTTGGCCAGAGAACCAGAATTTGACTGAGCTTTGACATCTGTCCATCCAGGCAGAAATGTGGCATCCCATAGACAACAGTGAAAGGGATTTGCCTTATGAAGGCAAATCTAAAAAGTATACAGTGATGGAGGGGTTAAGCATAGTCAGAGCAGGCAGACAAAATTATACAGGGATTAACTGTAGTCTGTGTTCACATCCTCGTTTTTACTATGGATTTTCCTTACAGGAGTTTCAGAAAGGTTGTTGTGCTGCCTGGGGAGAAGCATTGCATTTAGAGAGAGTATAAGCATAGTTTTTCTATGCTTTATTTACAGAGGGAGTAACAGATACTTCCTGCACTAGATCTGAATCCACTAAACGTCAGTAACGCTTCTTAGATCTCCTTCCCCATGAACAACAAGGTTATAGCAGTACCCAGAGGCTGAAGGAAGTTACAAGGAAGACAAATGCACTTCCTACTCTTGATGTGTAACTTAATATGAGGGACTGTGCTACCTAAGAGAGCAGATCCAAAATAGTCCCTTAATTTATGAATCATTCTGCTTTAACTGAACACACAGAAATGCTTAGCTCCCTCTCACCATATACCCCTTTTAATGCATTTCTGCTGAATAGTAGGAGGCTGTATTCTTGGGAACTGGGGGGGAAGAGGGGAAAGAAAAAACATTTCAATGAGCAGGTGCAAGAAGAAAGACAGAGAAAAGCACTGTGAGACCAGCTGATAGAAAACAGTGCTTTGAAGTAAGTCAGAAAAATACATTAGGATTTTTATGATACAAGAGAATAAATTAGCAGTGTTTTGAAGCAGTGAAGTATGAAAGGAGGTATAATGAAAGCCGAAGATGCAACAACTGAACAATAGAGATGCTGGAACAAGTAAAGACCTGAAATATTCAGACATGAAGTCCTCCAGACTACTCAGTTAACCAAGCATGGGACGAAGCAGTATTTTTTGTCATAAATTATAACTGTATAATTTATAACTTCATCTGTGAAGTACCATTAGGTGCAGATCTTGCTCTGCTATCATTGCTTCAGGGAGCTGCGTGGTGCACATTGTGCTGTGGGGATGTGCAGGCCCCACTCGAGGTGGACAGGTGCCACCTGGTTCCTGTCCAATGGAAGACAATTTCTTAAACAGTTTTCTTTGTATCAACATGGCTAGAAAACACAGGTATTCAATGTAATGCCCACGGCTGGAAGATTCCTTGTAATCTGTTTGAATCCTCTCTGGGAAAGCTGTACCAGCTACTTTCTGAGGGAACGTTTCTGCAGAGAATAAATTTTTTAGAATATTCTGATGGCAGCTCATAAGCTTTTTTTTATCTCCTACTGTCCCTTTTCAAAAATAACCCAAGTTTTCTCAGTGTGCAGATTCAGAGCGTGTAGACAAATAATATGTAGAATATGTAGTTAGTGGAATAAAAAGGAGTAGAGTCCTGTCATTTGGGGGCACAGATCAGTTACTCAAGCTTTATGTCTGTTTTCCCCACACCTGATTCTCGCTGTCTGTCTGTTGCCTCTTGATGAGATGAGGTTGTACAAGATGTTTCCATTTTGCCATAATGATGTGCCTTTGAATTGCGTAATTTGTAGATTACATGGCTTGCTCATGGAGAGGCTTTTTTGGGTAGTAAAAATTGTAAGCTAAGTGATTTCAAGATCTAGATTTCCACCATCTTGCCTCATAATTTTTTGGAAGAAAAGGAGAAATCCAGTGAAATTATCCACTCTAGTAAAAATGCAGTAATGCTATTTGCTTTATTGAAGAGGTTTACCATCTCAGCTGAAATGCTGCTGTTGTAATTAAGGCCCCAGTTTCATGCCAACTCCCCTCCTCCACAGCTTTCCTTGTGGGGCAAGTGTTGTGGCTGCTCTGTGAATTAAATTAGGGGATTGATGCAAATTAAAACTAGTTTGGCAAAAAAGCTGTTTCTAGTCTAGAGCAGCATCTTGGGTCTGTTTGTTGGGAGGTCAATGGGTGCCAGCCCCGGTGGGCTGCAGGGCCACAAGCTGGCTGCAACTGCTCCGTCAGTGCTGCAGGTCGTGGTGGCACTGAAAGTCTGGTGCAGATTTCCCTTTGGCTGGTAGGGTTGCACTTGCTTGGTATGCATGTGGTTTTTAGTGGGAATTTTCAATGTTTTTTTGATGTCTGTTTTTTGCCTGTAACGTGTGAAACAGCTTTCTTGTACTTGCACTTAAAGATATTTTTGCTTCTGTTTTAAAATGGGGTGGAACAGGAAGACTTTAGCTCTCAGCAGGGTGTCTTTTTTTAACCTGTCCTTAAGGACAGGTTTTGTGAGGGTGAAGTGAACACAGCTGTGAGGACTGGGGTTTGATTTCAGCCTCCTGTGGTGTCTTCTAGGACTAGACACTGCTGGGGCTTGTGCAAGCCAGCGATGAGTGGCGTTCCTCAGGGGTTGGTATTGGGTCCGGTGCTGTTTAACGTGTTTGTCAGCAACATGGATGGTGGGATTGAGTGCACCCTTGGCAAGTTTGCCAGCGGCACTAAGCTGTGTGGTGCGGTCAACACACTAGAGGGGAGGGATGCCATCCAGAGCGACCTTGACAGGCTTGAGAGGTGGGCCCATGCAAACCTCATGAAGTTGAACAAGGCCAAGTGCAAGGTTCTGTACATGGGTCGGGGCAATCCCAAGCACAAATACAGGCTGGGCGGAGAATGCATTGAGAGCAGCCCTGAGGAGAAGGACTTGAGGGTGCGGGTTGATGCTCAATATGACCTGGCAATGTGTGCTTGCAGCCCAGAAAGCCAGCCGTATCCTGGGCTGCATCAAAAGAAGCGTGGCCAGCAGGTCAAGGGAGGTGAATCTCCCCCTCTACTCTGCTCTCGTGAGACACCACCTGGAGTCTGCGTTCAGCTCTGGGGCCTGCAACATAAGAAGGACATGGACCTGTTGGAGCGAGTCCAGATGAGGGCTGTGAAGATGATGAGAGGACTGGAGAACCTCTCCTATGAAGACAGGCTGAGAGAGTTGGGGTTGTTCAACCTGGAGAAGAGAAAGCTCCGGGGAGACCTTATAGCAGCCTTCCAGTACCTGAAGGGGGCCTACAAGAAA